ATCAGATCTTGCCTTGCTTTTACTATCATTTCATGACTGCTATCATTTCAAACTTAGTAAAAGTACCTCTTCACTAATTCAATGGAGTTGGGGTTTTTCTTCCTTGAGTTGTGAATGGAGGCAGGCCTGATTTATCAACCAACTCAGAGACCCTAGTCTATTGTGGGGGCTGAGCACTCAAAGTCAACCCATGGGAACAACCAGGAAGAGATCCGGAGCCCTGGGATCAACCTCTCCTCGGCCACACCAGAGTTGAGATAAGATGGAGTGACTGGAGGAGCTGCAACTTGATGAGGAGCCAGTCAGAGCCAGATGGTTGCTAAGCTTAGTATGGCTGGAAGACCCTGAGTACCCACTGGGGATGACCTTCACCAGAGGGCAGCATAGTGACTTCACCCTGCCTGATTTTAACAAAGAGGACCTCTGAGCCATGCATTGCAACTGCTGCATGAGGCGATAGAGAGTCAGAGAGCTCGGGAAACCCTTGCCCAGAAGCCTGCCCAGCCATCATAAGGAGAGACCAGCCAGGCAGCAGGGAGAGCAGCCACTTCCACAGTCGCAGCAGTGGCCTCCGTTGCTCCACAGGGGACAGCTGCAGCTGCTCAGCCAGCAGCTGCTGCAGTGGCTTAGCCCCACCCTGACAGGGGAACAATCCCTGGAGGTGCTTAATTCCTAAGGTTCCTCCACTGGGTACCTTAGCTGGGACTAAAATACTGAAGGGATCCCAAAGCTCTGGGATTCTTCTTAGCCCAAGTCTGGAATCACATGCAGGATTATTTATTTATTTATTTATTTATTTGTTTGTTTGTTTGTTTGTTTGTTTGTTTGTCCAGTTTATATGCCGCCCTTCTCCATAGACTCAGGGTGGCTTACAATGCATTATAGCAATAACCTGCATACTTTTATGTATACAGTATACCTGCTTATTAGGGCTTTCGCCCCCCCCCCCCAAGTGGTGTTGTTCTATACAAAGCTGGCTTATTGCCCCCACAATCCGGGTCCTCAATTTACCTACCTCGATAGGATGGAAGGCTGAATCAACCTTGAGTCTGGTGAGATTTGAACTCGCACTAATTCTAGGCAGCTGGTAGCTAAGTGCTAGCACTTAACAGCACTTAGTCCGTTGCACCACTGAGGCTCTGGATTATGGAGATGACTTGAGATCTGAGCCAGCCAGAGTGAGATGTGTCACCATGGCCTTGGAAGGAGCTGCAGCAGAGTGGATGGTTATTCTTCACAATGACAATGATAATGACAATGCACCCCAACTAAGGATCTACAGCTAATTTAGGGTGGCATTTTGCTGGCAGTTCGAGGACCCCCTAGCTGAATGCAAGACTAGGACCTGAATGAAGACCATTACATAGTGGCAGAATACACCCAGGAGTTCTGTGAGCTGGCCTGTCATATGACCTCCTGGTCTGTGGAAGTCCTGATGGAATGTTACAAGGATAGGCTTAACGATGAAGTCTATCACCGCTCCATCTCCTGAGGGGCCCCTCAAGAACTCTAGCATTGGTATGTGTTGGCAGATAAGGTAGAAATCGATGTGGCCAGGGACTGGCACCATGGCAACTGCAGCTAGAGGAAGTCCTCGCCTCCTGCTCATAAAGAGCCCCCCAAAGCTGCCAAAGGTGGGCCAGCACCCAAACTGAGATCCAAAACAAGTGTGGGAAGGAGGGACCCTGAGCAGCTGATTGCCTTTCAGCCAAACCAAACCCCAAACCTGGGGCTGCTGGGGGCAAGAAGCCTGAGAAGCAGCTGCCAAGGCACCATGAAACAGCCTTGAAGGGGGTGGAGATCATTGAGTTTGCCCCTCCTGCCCTTCTTAGGAACTCTGATGATGACCCCCTGGTAAGTCAGCTTGTGATCCCATGACTATCCCAGTGGAGCTAAGGGTGCCTTCTTCAGGCACCCAGGAGAAGATGTAAGCCATTTTGGAGTTGGCATACACCAGATGTGTGATTAGCCCTGAGGTGGTAGAGAGACTGAGACTGAAGAGACTGAGGGTACCCATAGCCTTTTGCCAGCTGGATGGGTCAGTGGCTGGGGGAAGGGGGCAGCTCACTTCATAACTGAACCTGTGGAAATGTGAATAGGGAGCCACAAAGAGACATTGAGTTTCATTGTGACATCTGGAATGGAGAAGACCCTCCTGCTTGGATTAACCTAACTCCACAAATGGAACCCTCTTGTGAACTGGAGGAAGTGGCTTCTAAAAATCTGTTCACAACTGAAGAGAAGAGGGGGAGAGAAATCCTCATTATGAGCCAAAAGAGCCAAGGTTACAAGGGAATTGGGGACTGCAGTACAGGATACACGCACACACACACACACACACACACACACACACATACATACATATAAACACACAAGAGAGAATAAATTGCTTATAGTCACCCATAGAATTCGTCATAGAGATAAGACTCAAACTAGGATGCTTATAATTTTTAGCTTGGCCTGTGGTATCACTGTGGTATACCAGCTTGCAGAGTACAGCAAATACATTAACCATTATCTCTCTCCTGCATGGAAATAATGTCCTTCGTTTCACTTATATCAGTAAGGGACAAGAGCAAGAATCGTATAATAGCCTGAATGCCTTTGTTATATTATGTCTACAAAAGAATTTGCAGTTTTCAAAATACCTTCATTGCAGTTTAATCTTTGTTGATGCTAGTCCTTTGCCTTGCTGAACTGACACTTCTGAAAGCATGCTGTCCTTTCCAAAAAAAGAGAAAAAAAATACTGCCTCTAAAAGACCTAGTTCACTAAAGCATGAGTCATTTTACTGACTTCGGAAGGATGGAAGACTGACTCAATCTTGAACTGGTCAGGATCAAACTCCTAGCTGTGGGCAGAGTTAGCCTGCAATTACTGCATTCTAACCGCTGCAAAATCAGGGCTCATCTTTTATGGTTTTAATGCTTTTAAAGCTGTAAGTTGCTTTGAAATGAGATGGGAAGCAAACAAATTTAATAAATTAAATAAAATATGAATAAATCTGAAAAACAGCATACCTCTCAATATCAATACTAGGTCAATAATAATTAATGCTATTTCATATTTAATTATATGATAGTAAAGAAATACTGTATTTAGACAATATGTTATATTTATTTTTATTTTATTTTATTTTGAATTTGTATACCGCCCTTCTCCCTGAGGACTCAGGGCGGTGAACAGCCAAGTAAAAACATCAAATACAAATATTAAAATACAGTTAAAATATACATATATAAATTTGGCCCCATTAATTAAAAACAATAAACAAAACACTTAAAAACACTTAAAAAAAATATTCTACGTGTCACAAAAAAGTTCAAGTTTGGAAGAGTTATTTCCATTCAAAAAATTCCAACAGAAGAATAATACAATAATATTGACTATATGGTGACATAAGTATATCAGAAAGAGAATAATTACCAATCTGTTGAATAAAATACAGAGGAAAAGTGAAGCTATGTAACTCAATTGGTAGCAAGTATTACCAGTAGTTACTGTTATATTTGTTAGAGAACATTAGAATACATTGAGCAAAATATAGCTTTAAAATACATCTTGGTGTTAAAATACACAGTGGTTATAATTTCTTGAACTGAGCTGTCGATAGGATTACACATTTTTATTTTCAAATTATTTAGTTTGCTTAAAATAGCCACAACTGCAACTTTGAATGGAATCATTTAACAAAATTCAAAAAAGAATATTCAGCAATGTTAGTAGATAGTGAAAATAAATATACTTTTTGATTTATAGGGACATAAATCCTACTTAAGCCACTTAATTACTGGTATATACAACTGTATGGTAGAAGTAGTGATGAAAGCCTTTTTCCTGATCACAGGAAAATCCGATCATAGTAGGAACAGGTTTGATAGTCCTTATAATTTTATTTTAAAAACTATGGTAAAATTAAACTTTTTTCATTATAATGACAATTGCAATGAAAACCATAAATAATTGAGAAATATTTTTCAAATATTTCCATTAAGTGATTTCTATGATTTCTAAGGGTTGTAGAGTTTTTACTATGGATTCTGACCACTGGGATATAAATTTGCAGGGATGATAATATTCTCTGTTATAAGTAATGCTTAAGATACTGAAAAAGTATTTTCCTATTAATTGACAGATATATTCACCAATGTAGAACATGCTGAAGTGACTTACAGAACTTTGTAGATTCTGTATCACAGGTGTCCCCAATCCGGTGCCATGGCCTGTACCAGACCATGCAAGAGATGGGAATGGTGGGTATAAATAGAGCTACTGTGTGAATGTGCTCGCCCTCTGCTTGCGCAGAACCATCCCTTCTCCCCTCCCTGCCACCACCTCCACCGCCTCTGTCAGTCTGCAAAGCTGGAAAAATTGGGGACTGCTGCTGTATCATATATAAATCTATAAAAGCATATAAATAATGAATTTTTTTTTGTCTTTCCTTTCTACTCTGACCTGGTGTTTCCCATGTGTTTCTGCAACTGAGGTTAAAGTGCAATTCAGAAATTCAGCCCACATACAGGAAGCTACAGTCCCAATACAACCAAAAGACACAAGGTTAGAGAAGTCTGATACATCTGACATATATGTGTGTGTGTGTGTGTGTGTGTGTGTGTGTGTGTGTGTGTATCAGTGATGGGTTGCTACCAGTTCGCACCAGTTCGGGCAAACCATTGGCGGAAATTTGGCCAAGGTCATCAAACTGGTAACGATGGCCGGCTGGCCACACCCTCGAACTGGTCTCCCGGTCACCGCTCGCTCGCCCCAGCCACCATGTTCATTGCCACCATGTTCTTTGTGCATCCCACTGCCTTGCAAGTCCAACAGGATGTGCATACATGAAGAACATGGCGACAACGGCAGCAGCTTTTTCCACCAGTACTTTTCTGTGGCCTACGGAGAAAGCGGCTGGCAAAGAAGCCTTTTCGGAGGCTTCTTTGCCAGCCGCTTTCCAGCAGTGGCAGCTGGCTGGGGGCTGCTGAAAACTCCAGTCAGCTTGCCTTCCAGACTCTGGACCAGGTGCCACAGAAGGTAAGCAGGCGGTGGTGGGGGAGGAAGTGGGGCTAAGGTCAGGGCTGCTAAAGGAGAGCCAGGTGAAGGGAGGCTGGGTAACCATGCCGGCAGCGAAGTGGTTGGCCCCTTCCATTGCCATTGCTGCTGCCGCCTCTGCCTCTTCCTTCACTTGCAAACAGAAGTCGGAGACAAAAGGCAGTTGCTTCTCCGTGTTTCCATCCCAAGTCAGCTGGAGTCCTTCCTGTGTGTTTCTCAAAGCTGGCCTGGCCTGCAAGGGAAGCACGCAGGAGATTGCAGCACCAGAGCCCTTCCCATGTTTCCCAAAGCTGGCCTGCCTGCAAGAGAAGCATATGGCAGATTGTAGTAGCGGAGCCCTTCCTGTGTGTTTCCCAAAGCCGGCCTGGTCTGCGAGGGAAGCACATGGGAGATTGCAGTACCGGAGCTCTTCCCAGGTTTCCTGAAGCCAGCCTGCCTGCAAGGGAAGTGCATGGGAGATCACCAGCTGGACTTGTGAGGTGAACAAGGGGGTGGGTGGGCAGCCCGAGAGAGAGCGCTGCACTAGGGTCTGTGTGCTCTCGGGCCTCCCACCCATCTATGCTTCTGCAAGGCAGAAAGCAAGCCGTAAAAGTCTTCACCCGCACCCTCCTGGGACCCTGGTCACAGCGCCAATTCGAATGTGTTCTCTGCAGACCGCTAAGAGCCCAAAGCTGTTGGTGCCAAAACAGCCCACGCCTCCTGCTGCTTTGGGCTCAGAGCTGTAAGCCACATCCAGGAAGCACTCCTGTGGAGAGAAGTTGCCAAAGTCAGCCCTAGCTAGGAATCTCAAATATGGGTGAGAATGAACATTGTGTTGTAGCCAGCGGTAGATCAGCCCCCTGCAAACTCCATCTCTCGAGGAGCCCAGCCCCTTGCCAATCACATCGCCTGGACTCCCAGTGATGGGATGGGGTCCTTCAGGCACTTAGTTTGGCCACCTGTTTAGTAGCTCCAGCCAGTAGCTACCACACAAACATTCATTCCTGGCCATATTTGAGATTCCTAACTGCAGTTTACTCATGAGCACCATTGGCCAGGAAAGGCAGGGAAAAAGGCCAATGGTGATCACGAGTAAACTGCAGATTAGAGACATCTGGCAGATTGCTGGCTTGCTCGCTCAGCTGCTTGCTGCCCGGAGCTTGCAGGCAGCGAATGAAACCTGTGTTGTGATTGCCGCTTCCTGCCTCCATGCATCAAGGAGGCCGAGCACCACCGGGAAGAGCACGGACCTCCTGAAACACAGGAAGTGGCTGCCAGCAATGCCCTCAGGCAAAGATGTGAGCAGGGAGGCTCAACCCCCCTTAGGAGCCACGAAGCACTCACTGCCCCTCTGATACCCAAGCCTCCTCCCACCGTGCTTCTCTTCCTCCTAACCAGAAGCACTCACAAGCGACAAGAGAGATGTGTTATTTTTGCAGGATTGCCCCCATATGGTCTTCAGTACATGGCTCGTCGTCCTCCAGACATCAGATTCCCACTGCCCAGCACCTGTTCAGTGGTTCCTTCTCCCCCACCCAGAGAGAGAGAGGGAGAGAGGGAGAGAGGGAAAGAGAGAGAGATAAGGGACACACAGTGAGAGGGGGGCAAAGAGAGAGACACAGAGAATGAGAGAGCGAAATGAGAATGAGAGATGAGACAGAGAAAGAGGGAGAGATGAGAAACAGAGAGGGAGAAAGAAAGAGAAAGAGATGAGAGAGAGAGAGATGAGAAAGAGAGAGATAGGGAGAAAGAAAGAGAGATGAGATAAATGAAAGAAAAAGAGGAGAGAGATGAGATGAGAGAGAGAGATGAGAAAGAGAGATAGGGAGAAAGAAAGAAAGAGATGAGAGAAAAATGAGAAAAAGAGAGAGGAGACAGAGAGAGACAGAGGGAGAAAGAAATGAAAGGGAGGGATAAAGAAAGAGATGAGAGAGGGAGAGAGGGAGAAAAGAGAGAGACAGAGAGAGAGAGATCTATTTAAAAGAAAATAGAAAAATGGCTCTTTGAATGTTTAAAGTTGCAGACGCCTGGGTTAGGCAAACACCATGGTCATTAAGTGAACCTTGTGGTCATTAAGTGAACACTGGTTGTTAAAGAGCCTCGGTGGTGCAGCGGACTAAAGTGCTGTTAAGTGCTAGCACTTAGCTGCCAGCTGCCTGCAATTAGTGCAAGTTCGAATCTCACCAGGCTCAAGGTTGACTCAGCCTTCCATCCTTTCGAGGTAGGTAAATTGAGGACCCGGATTGTGGGGGCAATAAGCCAACTTTGTATAGAACAACACCACTTGGGGGGGCCGAAAGCCCTAATAAAGCAGGTATATACAAAAAAGTATGCAGGCTATTGCTATAATGCATTGTAAGCCGTCCTGAGTCTACGGAGAAGGGCGGCATATAAATTGGACTAATAAATAAATAAATAATAAACAAGTCCATTTTTCCCAATGGGCATTTTTAACCAGAAACCAGAAGGAATTATTGGAAACTGGCAAAAAACATAGAAAACCTCAGTCATATGACTGTGTAGGATGTTGTAACTGGTCATAAGTTTGTGTGTGTGTGTGTGTGTGTGTGTGTGTGTGTGTGTGTGTGAATAGCTGTCAAAACTCCAAAAACAGGCAAATTGACCTGGAAAAATTGAAAGATTTACAGCTGTCACTATCATATTATATTTAATCTGGTTTTATTTTGTTTTAATTTTTGTATTATAGTGTTTTTATCTTGTGGCTGTTCACCGCCCTGAGTCCTTCGGGAGTAGGGCGGTATACAAATCAAATAAAACATAAACATATCAGGAAGAATAGCTACTATAAAAATGAACATTTTGCCAAGACAATACCAATACCAATAAAATTGGAGAAAAATATTTTGAAGAACTAAATAAAATAATATTAAGATACGTTTGCTTAGGAAAAAAAGGAAGAATAGGCTTAAAAATGTTGCAGGAAACCAAAAAAAGAGGGGACTTTGTACTACCAGGCCTCAGTAGTCACATGGGTGAAAGAATGGATCAGCTTGAGACACACAAGATTATTAACATTTGCAGGGCATGACTTCCAACTAGGCTGGCACACCTTCTTATGGTATGGGAAGAACAAGATATATAATTATTTTCAGAGACACTATGTTAGGAATGCATTGCTATTAGTCTGGTTTAAAATAAAAGAACAACACTATTTGAAAATACCACTTTGGCTTTCCACTATGGAGGCATTGGTACATCCTAATGTTATTAATATGAAAAAAAAATCTTAAGATATAAAGATATTATGAATGACAAAGGGGAATTAAAAACTAAACAGGAACTTAATAACCAAGGGATAGATATTGCATGGTGGCCACATATGCAGATACAATCCCATTACGAGAAAGATGCTAAAATGTATTTAATAGAGTTAACAGAATTAAATCAGATATTAACTGGAACGGATGATAAACTGATAAAGAAATTATATTGTTAACTATTAACTATTAAACTTGAAAGTGAGCAAGTAAAGGAGACAATGATCGCCTTTGCATGGATTTTTGTGACATTAATGCCATGTGCGTGGAGCACACCTACCTCCTCCCCCTCATGAAGAATATGCTAAATCACTTAGCCAAGGGCAAGGTGTTCACCAAACTGGACTTGAGAGAAGCCTATTACTGCATACGGATTAAAGAAGGAAATGAATGGAAGACGTCCTTTAACTGTCTGCTTGGCAGCTTCCAATTCAAAGTCATGCCATTTGGTCTGCAAGCCCCACCCACCCACAGTTTTTATGCAGCTGATAAATGAGGTGCTACATGAGCACCTATATAAAGGAGTCCTAGTTTACCTAGATGACATACTTATATTCAGCGATACTCTTGAGGAGCATGTAAAGCTGGTGTGGCAAGTGCTGAAAAAACTCCTAGCTGCAAAACTCTACGCAAAGCTATCAAAATGTAAATTCCATAAAACCTCTAGACAGACCAGAAATAAAAGTTGAAATAAGCCAAAAAAATAGTAAGAGAACACCTGTCTGATCTTAATGAATACAAACCACCTGGACCTGATTGATTACATTCCAGAGTTCTAAAGGAGCTGGCAGAGGTCATCTCAGAACCACTATACCACATCTTTCAAAAATCCTGGAGCACCGGGGAACTAGCAGAGGACAGGAAAAGAGCTGATGTGGTTCCTATCTTTAAAAAAACAAAACAAAACCAGACCCAGGAAACTACAGACCAATCAGCCTAACATCAATACCTGGGAAGATACCGGAAAAGATAATTAAAAGAACAGATCTGCCAACATCTAGAAGCAAGTAAAGTAATAACTAGAAGTCAGCATGGGTGTCAGCGTTCCAAATTAGGCTCTCTTCCAGTTCTGACATGAACGAGATGAAGCAAAGACCAGAAGTGTTGATTTATTGCTGAGATGAACTTTTACCTAGTTTTCTGTATGCAACAGATAGTGTTTCCTGGGGGACGAGGGTGGGGGCCACATTCCTGTGAAAAGAACGTGCCGGGACGTAGAGATGGATCTGCATGATGGCCAATGGGACATTGGGGGTTGGAGAGTGGAAGAGGAGGGGGTTGGAAGGAGGAGCCAGTTTGGCTGCAATTTGAGTCAGGAATGTTGGTTTTTTTCTGTTCTTAAATAAAAGTGATTCGTTAGAGACTTTGCGCTTGAAAATGAAACTTATTTAAGATAGCACCGAAACCTGACAATGGGTTTGTTAAAAATAGATCATGCAAAACCAATCTTGTTTCATTCTTCAACATAGTGACTAAATTAGTGCACCAGCGAAATACTGTGGACATAGTATACTTAGACTTCAGCAAGGCATTCGACACAGTAGAGCACAACCTACTTCTTGGTAAGCTAGTAAAAAGTGGGATAGATAGCATCACCATCAGATGGATTTGTAACTGGCTGACAAACCATATTCAATGAGTAGTCCTTAATGGTACTTCGTCTACATGGAAGGAAGGAAGCACTGGGGTACCACAACATTACGTCTTAGGCCAGTACTCTTCAATATCTTTGTAAACGACTTAGATAAGGGAACAGAAGGGGAACTTATCAAATATGTGGATGATACTAAACTGGGAGGAATAGCCAACACCCTAGATGGATCTTGATAGATTTGAACACTGGGCCCTATCTAACAAAATGAAATTCAATGTAGAGAAAAATAAAGTCTTGGGAAGAAAAACCAAAGTACACATATAGATTGGGTGAAACCAGGCTTAGTAGCAGCAACTCTGAGAGGGATCTTGGAGTCTTAGTGGACAACCAACTAAATAGGAGCCAATAATGTGTGGCGGCAGCCAAAAAATCCAATGCAATCCTAAATTCCATAACAGAGGGATTCAATGAAGATCTTTTTTTTTTATTGCAAAAGTTTTACAATTACATTTTCACCCCTTTCCCCCCCCACCTCCCCCCCAAACTTCCCAACCTCCCTAACCCTCCCTAACCCTCCCCTCCCCC